TTTCAGGTCCCTCGCTGCTGCAGACAGTTCAACTTGTGCTGCTCACCAAGGCCAATGTCAAAGGTCATATGGAGACTACTAGTGGCAGGTTTTGGATTTGTTGGCAGGGGCCAGAGTTACTGAGCTCCTAATAACGTGACAGAGGCCGAGGGGGTAGACGGTCTGAGTGAGCAATGCTCAGAAAGCAGGATTTAAAAAAGAAAAAAGAAACTAGGGGACTAGAATCAGCAGACTATGTAGGTGGCAGAGAAACACGCCACGGTCTGAAAACAACAAACTGGAATGTCGATGTATGGAATGGAACAGTGACGGACTACATTTATTTATAAATAGGCACTATGATGATGTTTTTTTTGCTACATACTGTAACGGAAACATGAGGTGGATGGTGTAGTGTGAAAGAGCAAGGTACGAAACCAACACGTTGGTCAGGAGTGGTCTAGTTTCTAATATGATGACATTGTACAATAGCCTCAACCATTGCTCACCCATACAGACCATTCCCCTGTAGCATGCAGTGATCAATCGATCAAGCTTTAGCTTCATTATGGGATGTTTTTTTTCTAAGTTTGTACACCAATTTAAAAAAAGAAAAACATGTACCTTTCTGTTGGGATAACCACTTTGACTATGGCTTGCGACAGAGTCTGTATATGAAGTCACATCAGATAATAAACATAGAATGTGAGTATTGTTAAAAGGCAACAGGTGAAAAATATAAAAAATGCATTTTAAAGTGCAAATAGACAATAACTTTCCTTTACTGCCGTCAATTGTACTAATGGCCAAACACCCCTGACACTGGATTCACTAACTATGCAAACCTGTCTGTAACACTGAGCTGTTTGCACACGCTAACATTTATTTATACCCACACTTTGATATACAGTGCAAGGCTACTTTAATTTAGCAAGATAAAAACTATCACTTTACATAAATTGATTAAAACATGACTTGACTGCTCATTATAAAAGGCTAACATTTTACAAGCTGAAATAACAAAAGCACTTAACCCTTAAGCCATAAACCATGAGAAAAATCCTAGTCTGACATGCTGAGTTACCTTCTCGAACTCCTCCTTGTTTTTGGGTGGAGGGAGCATTGGGGCAGTGGGGTTCTTTAACCTCTCCCGGGGCTGTGCATTGAAGGGTAGGCCGGAGGGAGGTGGTGGGAGTGTGTGCTCCATCATGGAAGGAGGGATGTAGATCGGGTGGGGTGGGATGGGCACACCTTTACCCCATCCTAATTTCATCTCAAAGTTCATTATCATCTTTCCTGTGAGGGCAGTAAAAGATGAATTAATATAAGTATGAACCAATACTCAAAAGGTTTGGGATCACTTCTAGTTATTCATTCATTTTATTTAAATGAAAAGCAGCGTTGTACCATTTAGGTTCTTGAGAGCTCGCTCAGCATCCCTCCTGTTCATGAAAGCCACAAAACCACAGTTCCTCTCCCGAGCCCGTTCCTCGTCTGTTCTCGGCCACATGATCTTCACGCTGGCCAGCGGACCATAACGGCCAAACTCTTGACACAGCATCTCCTCATTCATCTACATATTCAGACAGACAGGCATTGGTATTGAGAGTTGGACCATAGCAAAGCAATTAGGGCTGTGGCATTTGGCCAAAATATTTATTTGAAAAATGATATACATGGTGGAACTATCTCAATATATTTTATGGTACAACGTGTCCTAATTAGCCAGGAGAACTACTTTTGGCCAGACGTCATGTTTATTCCCGTTAATCTTGAAAGCAAATCGATGGAGAAACAACAGCTGAATGGAGAGACATCAAAGACCTGAAAGTTTCCTACATGCACAAAATGCATTTTCATGTCTTCTAAGATTGTAGACAGCCGCAAATTGCAACACACTCAAATAACACCCCATGTTCACAGCAAAACTATCGGGGCCTTAGAGTCTCTTCTCCACCCTGTATGTACAAATCACCTGTGGATTGATGTTTCCCAGGTACAAGTTAGTAGTGGATGGGTCTCCAACGTCATGGGAACCTGGCGCACAATCATCCAAAACTGCAGAAACAAGAAAAGAGAAGAATTTCCTTTGGTGTCTGACAGGGCCAGATATTTTTCTTAGCAAGATGGGGATATTCACAGCCACTATAATAGGTCAAAATTACCACTGGACGGACGGTTTCTTCTTGAAGAACCATCCGCTAAAAGAAGCAGAAACGCAGTGTAAATTTTGTTTTTAGGGCAAGAGTGGAGGGCAGAGAGGGGTGAGTGAGTGGATTAAAGCGTGCGGGACAGCGCCGTTTCAGGCTGAGTTAGTTCCACGAAACAGATCGGTGAAGCTTTAAGACACTTACACGAGCGTCTTCCGTCTGTGCCCGAGAGAGGTTCAAAGCGACTGACGCGTCCTTTCAGCTTGTGTCTTTCATCCCTTTCCTCTTGTATTCTGGAAGAATCAGCAGGCAGAACATTTACTTACAAGCTATGTTCAAATGACACATTTTAACTTTCAAAGTAGCACCATTTCCAGTAGTATTACCCACCAGCCTAAACAGTTAAAATGTATGAAAGTTTAATGTATGGGAACTTACTGTTTAAGTTCTTCTTTGAAAAGCTCCAAGTTGCTCTTCTTCTTTTCCTTTTCAGTAGGTTTCTTCGCAGACTGAAATGCAGACGTAGAAAGAAAATCAGCAAAGTCAAAAGAAAAGCAACGTTACCTGCAGCAGTTACACGAGAGGCTCCTTGTTGACTCGTGGTACTTACATGTCTTTTATCCACTGGTAAAAACTGAGTCGGGGTGTCCAAAGGCAGGAAGCTTTTGGATTGGTTATCGAAACGTGACTTGGGCTTGTACAATTTCCCTTTCTTCTCATCAGCAGCTGCCTCCTCTGAAAGATGAAAAGGTGTGTTTGTACTTTATCCCACTACAGTTAGATTAAGAAATACCATTCTCATGTCATGGATGGAAGACGTTGTGATTGCGCCCAGACATATTGTGCAATTTATTGGGGAAGCACTTAATGGAGAAAATAAAAATTTTGCACCTTTTGTTGCATTTGCAATACCGCCACGGACAAAGGCCTTGACCTTGCCCTCCCCTCCTCCTTCAAAAGCAGCAAGAAACTCTTCGTAAATCTCGGCTGCAGCCCGCTCATCTTCCTGAACACGCAAACCAGAGTCAAAGTAAATAAACACACGTATTAACATACAGAGAAACATCGTTGAGTAATGTGTAGCTAGTTGCCACAGATCATATGGACAATACTCTTTAAAAAGAAGCGAACACTTACTTTTTTCTTTATTTCATCTTGTTCCTTCTTGCTCAGGGTCCTCTTTGCCACTGCCATTTTGCCAATACTGAAAGACTTCAATTTGCTCTCAAGCAACGCCTGTCGACGTAAACAAACCATGGTGTGCGTTCGATAAGTACCATAAAAATCGTTAAAATGTTAGTACATACGATACGTACAGTGCAACAAGCGTATCTTACATGGTTCCGAATTATATTCGATTAACATCAAAAGACGATTAAGAAAGAATGACAGCAATCGTGTTGACAGGTAACGTTAGGTTACGCGGGATTCAGGACCACAACAACATCCGTTCACTCTACACTGTAATCGGCTGCGTCCACTTGTGAATTATTTTGTACGTTTAGATGACTGAATATTTTAAACTTACTTACACCCGGAGACTTTTATCCTAAATATCAATGAGCAAAAGTATCCAGAGGCCTAAACAAGCTGCTGCAGCGCTGAAAGCATTCATCGGTAATGACTGAAACAAGGTTCTAACGGGTAGATAGGGCTCAAACGCTGCTAGGCCCAAACCCCCAAATATTATATTTAACCTGAAATTCTGAATTCAAACACACAAGACTAACCGTTATTCTAATTATTCATGTTAATTACTACCAGCTAATGAGCTGTACTAAAAGGTATTTATATCTGGGTAAAGTGCCTTGACAAGCCCTTCTTGTGTAGCGTCAGCTAAATTGCTAAGCTAAATTAGCCAGTGAGGCTAGCTTTAGCACGTTGGTAGTTAGCTAACACCGTTGCGCACCCCGTAACGGTAAACTCCTGCATGCTTTAAATAGGTAAATAATCAAGGTTGGGAAGGGTTACTATTATTTACATAGTTTCATTACTACAGAAAAGACCTAGGTAATGCGAGTACAAACGGCAAATTCACCTTAGCGCTAGCTTTTTGAGAGCCACCAGGCGTTCGGTCCGCCATCTTTTGTGTGACTAAAATAAAGTCGATCTTCGATGACATGATAGAGGCAAACGTGAGACTCCAGGGGACGCAATCGATCATCGAATAAACGATGGATAAACTTACTTTCCCTGTCACACGTTGGCGTTTATTTTTACATGAACCAATAGAAAACAGAACTCGAGCTCTTTATTAAAGTGTGCAATGTTTTAGAGGTACAATGACAATCAAAAAATGTTGTCAATTGTTGTATGGGTACATCCCACAGTGGCTAAATATTTGCAACGAGTTGATATAGGTGCATGATGCAATATCCTAATTTATAGAATCATTCAAGTCATGTATGAAAAGAACAGTACTTTTGACCTAGACCGCCTAATGGATTTTTCTTATTATACAGCTCTGATTTAAACAACATAAAAGATGAGCCAAGCAGCGGCTTGTACCACGTTTAGTCCAGCAGGTGGTGCTCTCCCCCCCCATCGCTCCCGTTTATTATCTATCTCTATCTAGAAGTATCTCTATTACAGGTAAATATTATTCTGACACCCCCAAGGCTGCGGCTGTACCTATTTCAACACTTTTTTAATGCTTTCAAGCTGGTAAAACATGTGCATTCCTGTTATGATAAGTATTTGCCATATGCAATAAATGGTCCATATCCATCATGTAAAAGTTCGGGAGTCAAGTTTATTCAGCCCAGGTGCCGTAAGAAACTAAACACTCCCAGTGCTTCTGCAATTTTTTTTCCTCCTTTTTTTTTTACCCCCCCCTGTCCCCCATATTACAGAACAAACGCGATATTCATCTGCTCCAGCTTGCAGTTACTGGAACTCCCTGCAGGACCTCCTGCCTTATTTACTGCGCCCTTTGAGCAGTTCACGTCGCGGGGCGGAAACCCAACTATGCGGGGAACATGCAGTCTTTTTTGCGCGTGGAGTCTGCTGTTCTTGACAGAGGTTTGTGCGCAGGCCCAGCGGAGGTACGTCATTTCATTTTCTCTTTCATTTATTTTTTTAATCGACTCCAAAGCTTTTGTGAGTGGGAGATAAAACGGGTTAAGATGATATAATGCGCGCGCGCGCGCGGACGGTGGAGCGGAGTTTATTTAGAGGAGCGCAGTCCAGGACATGTGGCGCATTGAATTAAGTCTGTGTTCAATCAACGGCAGGGTGTCGTTAACGTTTAAAAGTGTTTATTTATTCAACGCATTTGATATTTTAAACCTTCTCTCCCTTGTTTAGACCGACCTTCACATGCGGCGGAAACATTACAGGGGACTCTGGAGTAATCGGGAGCCAAGGGTACCCAGGAGTTTACCCTCCAAATGCCAAATGTGTGTGGAGAATCACAGTGAGTCCATATTCACTTTGGCTAATGATGATGAAAACAACACAGCTGGACACTATAATATGATTCTAGAAACTCAAACTCCCGATTTCCTTCCAAAAGTCAACCACTTCCAGCGTAAACATTTTTTTTTTACAGTTACTGTAGATTTAAACAGTCACAGTGTCGGGTGTATCAATCACATGTGCGGAACATCATTGAAGTAAAAAGCCGGTAATATTCATATGCCCCTCTGTAAATTCACACCCAGGTACCAGAGGGAAAGGTGGTGGTCCTGTCATTCCGCTCTATCGACCTGGAGAACGACAACCTGTGCCGCTACGACTATGTGGATGTCCACAGCGGCCATGCCGGCGGGCAGAGACTTGGTCGCTTCTGTGGGACGTTCAAGCCGGGAGCTCTGGTTTCCATGGGCAACAAGATGCTCCTGCAGATGGTATCTGATGCCAACACAGCTGGCAGCGGCTTCCTGGCTGTTTTCTCTGCTGCCCACCCGCATGAAAGAGGTAGGGAAAAACATGGGGAGGAAGAAGGTTTGAGAATGGTTCCGGCATGCTGGCCCTCATGGTGGTGCAAAGGTGTAGAGAACGTACCTCGCCGCTACCCAAGCGTGTAACAGCCAGACATGTGGGACTGTGTCTCAGCTATGACTTCACCCCGTGAAAGAATCTGGAATCCGGCCTTGTTGCGTGTGAGTGTTGGCGCAGGATAAGGTTCATTCAGATTCACAGTGATGGACGAGACGAGATTATGAGTTTCAGGTTGCCAAAGGGAGGAACATCTCAACATTTTTTTGCAGTATAATGTTGAATTTCTCACTGACATTTTTATGGAGCACTTTGGCAGAAGGCACAGGTCAGAAGTATTAGTGGGATGAGCCTCTTCCTCCCTGCTGGGGTCCAAAGTCACTTCTTCTGTTTCTGAGGAATTCTACCGTCTGGTTCTTCATGCCCAAAGAGCCGACAGCTGTAATGGATCGTTTCCATTAACCTGCCTTTTTGCACAACATTTCCTCAGCCTTCATCTTTGTCAAAGGGCTTAATTGTAGTTATTTGTGTCAGAAAAAGGAAAGATTTGTGTTGTTATTATTAAACTGATGTTTCTCGTGCTTGACAAGGCTGTAAGTTTACGGTTTTATTAAACTGTCCGCTGAAAAGGACTAATGCCCGACTTACTTTCGTGGGGTGCACATAATGACAAAGAAGGAAAGTGTGCTCCTACAGAAGTGGGTCATTACAGGATCATATAATATTATAAGGTTAATAATTACCTGGATCATTGCCCTTAAGGAACAGTAATGATATTATTCCCGGTGAATATCCAAGATGGAGATACGTATATATTCTCGACAGGGGAGCAGTACTGTGGAGGCAGATTGGACAGGCCTTCTGGGACTTTCAAAACACCCAACTGGCCCGAGAAGGACTATCCAGCTGGAGTGACCTGCTCCTGGCACATCGTGGCACCAAAGAACCAGGTCAGAGAGTTCTGAAATAATCCATCCACATTGTCCTAGAAGGAGACTTTGTATAAAAGCTCTTGATGGAAAATACAGAAACAGGCAACACTTTTTAACACTTTAACTATTAATAGAATAAATACACCAATTAAGCAGTTTGCCAACAGTAGGTCGTCGCTGCTCCACGGTGAGAGTTTTCAGGGCCACGTTGTGACGTCGTGGGCTTTGTTGGGTTGCATGTCAGGGGTCGTATTGGGGTACTAATAAATTAGTCTCTTGGGAAATAAAGCATGTATTATAAGTTATCACAAGCTTGTTTATTGGGCAGAGTAATACAACTGTATATTGTTAAAATGCGTTTTGTCACTAGCATTAAAAATCTGAAAATCTGAATTGTGGGTAATGTAGGCACCAATACTGCATGAACTACAGTATATCGCTGGTTCTCCTGTGTTGATTTTGTACATGAGCCCAACATTGTTGCAGGAGGGCAATGCTAAATTGTGGAGCAATGGGTGTGGAACAGGACCACATCATCCCACAAATGATAGAGGGGCCTTTAGTCAAACAGCCTGCCTTTATGACTCCATTACAAGCGTTTGGTGCATGAACAAATATTTCCTCTGTGGTTTGTCTCCGGCGGCAGATTATTGAAGTCAAGTTTGAGAAGTTTGATGTGGAAAGGGATAACTACTGCCGCTATGACCACGTCTCCATTTTCAATGGGGCGGAAATCAACGATGCCAAGAGGATTGGCAAATATTGTGGAGACAGCCCCCCCGCGTAGGTGATTCACGTTTTTTTTTCACTGAAACAGCCACCCTATGAATTCCCCTCAGTTTACGCTCAGGCCGCTTCGGGTTCTTTTCAGGCCAGTGTTCTCAGATGGGAACCAGCTCCTCGTCCAGTTCCTGTCAGATCTCAGTCTCACCGCAGACGGCTTCATTGGACACTACAAGTTCAGACCGAAGCAATTCTCCATCACCACGATGCCACCCACCACCACCACACAGCCGGTAACCACCAGGCCCATACGTAGGTAGCAACGTTTATCCCATTAGAATCCCATTAAGATCTTCTAACATCTGTTTTTGTCCAACATTGTTGTTTTGGCTTTGCGCTACTGGATGAGCTTGCTAACATGTGGGTTTATTTTTCACCTTAAACACAAGCAGATCTGGGCAAAAAAAGACTCCTCGAGTCCTCTGTGGATCTTTAAACTTCAACATAGAGTTGTGATGCACCGTTTTCCTCTCTGCAAGTGATCTTTTTTCCCCCCTTTCTCTTTGTACATGGCACAAGTTCATATTTTTTCTTGCAGCTAATTTTCATACTCAAATTCAAATTCCCACACGCTTTTTTTTATAACAACTCTCGTTATTTTGGCATCTCCCTGCCATGATTTTATACATTGGCCTTCTGGTGGGTTCGTAATTTCCGACTTTTTCTTATCCAGTAAGAATAATGGTTAGATGGTCACCTTTTATTTTCCTGGTTTGTTTCCTTTGTGGATTCCGTATTGTATTCTCTAACTCTAAAACCAGATGTTTATTTTGGATCATCGCGCTATTTCACGCAGTGTGCGCTGTGTCTGAGGGCGGACAGACAATCGTTTGGAGACACTCTTGTCTTACTGAGAACAACCGGTAAAGAAAACCACAGCAGGGACGGATGCAACCATAACTAAAACACTTGCATTAGTGGCGAGCAAAATTACAGAGATTGAATTCTTCTTGTGTATGTGTGTCCCTGCAGCTCTGAAGTACTCTGTAGCTCTCTGCCAGCAGAAATGCAAAAGGCGAGGAACGCTTGAGAGCAATTACTGCTCCAGCCATTTTGGTAAGAACATCGATGCTTTTATGGGATCTACTTAGAGCACATAAGCTTCAGTCACTGATGTGCCGCAGCCGCGCTAATGCTGTTACTGTACATATTTACCGTCGCTGTACATACATATAAGTTGAACTCTTTGCAGTGCGCAAAGATTTACAACAGCATTGGGAACACAAATCTCCTCTAAGCAGTTTACGCTCCTATCGTTTCCTCTAATTTCTCACTGCGCATCTCAAAGACTCCTTTTATAGCCTGTCGGGAAGGGAAGGAGTGTTTACAGTAGGACACAGTTATATCCAGTGTGATCACACACACACACACACACACACACAGTCTCGGCCTCTGACTGTGGGCAAACTGCTGATTAAAGACTGTGTTGATTCAGGCTCGCCCTCCCTTTGCTACTTTCCGTCTCTCTGATGTTTTCCTCTTTGAGATGTTTAGCCCATTAAGGTGGCATTTCAAAGGGGTTGAAATGCAATGGGAACTGAGGACGGGCAAGCGACGCGGTGTTGCATGTTGAAAGAGACGCCCCGTGTGATGTGGCGTGTGTGGCATAGCTGCAACACGCACAGTACATTTTGATAAAGTAGAGAGCCGGCAGACTGATAGTTCCTCTAATTATTATATTGTTATGTGAAATATGCACTTTAAAATGGTCTTATATAACATAGCGTCAGATATGATGATATAACCAGAACAAGCCTCTGGCTATTCTCCTCCCGGTCAGGAAAGGAAACAGTAGTGAAGTCCAGACATATTGGTACCATCAACGAAAATAACTTTTGAAGACGTGTGCAGGGTGAACGGGAAATGACTCACACGTGTCGGCACAACCAAATATATGAAAAAATAACAATGAGATACTGTAGGTAGCAACTGATGATGACATTAAAAATCAGAATCCGTTCACCATAACGGTGTCGTTGTTAAATTCCAGCCTTCCCTTCATTTGAGGTTGAAACAATTCCAATTTTTGCATTACGCACATTAGCACTACTGCTATGAATGAATTGTCGATTGCATAACTTTTTTCTATACAGCCACAGCATAATAATAATATCATGACTATTTTAATCATCAGATGGATCATTTGGTAAAGATATCTATGGTGAACGGAGGATTCTTCTGACATATGTCATCGTTCCCAGATGTTGAAGCTGATCTGCTGAACAGCAGGGAATGCTTAGTTATATGCTAACATGCTAAAGCATTAGCTTTTTATCATTTCATTGTATCTTACCATGTTAGCATTTAGCTCGAAGCACAGGCCGGCCCGCCGGCTGTAGCACTGTTATTCTCCTTTTGATGTATGTTTGCAACATCTTTTGCTCTTTGTTTTCTATCAAATTGTTTATTGTGTCATGACCTGTGTGTATGTGTGTGTGTCTACGACCAGTAATAACCGGGACAGTCATCACCGCAGTGACGAGAGAAGGAAGTATGTACGCCACTGTCTCTATTCTCAACGTGTATAAAGAAGGCAGTCTGGCCATCCAGCAGGCAGGAAAGACCATGAGCACCAAGATCATTATCCTGTGCAAGAAGTGTCCATTTATCAGAAGAGGTGAGTTCCCAGACTGCCGGTGAAAAGAAAAAATGATGTCCTGAATGATTTATGGCTCTTGAGTTTGCCTCCATTGCTTCCCCCGTCACGCTCCGTTGACAGAGCTTTCCCCAAAGTAAGAGGTGAGCGGCAGAACTCACTGTCCCAATGTGAATGTGTTTATATGTACGCATATAAAACACATGGTCCACAGGGCCCGGCCGGGTGGAGATTCTGATGTTTGGCCTCCCTGAATGTCTCTGCCGTTCCGCCACTGCATTCAGGTTTCTTTTGTGTGACCTCACCAGGCTTGACCTACGTCTTCATGGGCCAGGTGGAGGAGGACGGCCGGGGGAAAATCGCCCCCCAGCACTTTGTTATGGCGGTCAAGGCGAAGAACCAGAAAGGACTCAATGTCCTGAAAAACAAGCGTTGCTGAGTTCCACGCGGCGCGGAGGATTTTCTACGGGACGCGTTGGCCGATGCTCCGCTGCGGATGGAAACAGTTGAGCACAAAATGGTTCCTCCAATGTCGACAACACGAACGCAGGCCAACGACAAAACTCAATCTGGATGCAGAATAAAACATGAAATCGACAGTATTATTTTAATTAAGCGGAATTTTGATTTTTGTATTTATTCATTTGGCTGCAAATCACTTTTTTTTTGAGTAATCCAGAAGACATTAAACACTTTTACTCTGTTTTATTAAGAGACCAGTCGGTTAGTCTGTTGATCAACCTCAGATTAATAAGCAACAAAATGAGTTTTTTCAACACTATTCCACAGTCCATTCTTACTCTGCCTTCTCACGTTCCTCCTATGACCATAGCAGGGATTTAACAGGAACCCTGAGTATCGAGCGTAGTAGCTCACAGAGACGTGCTTCATAAAACAAACATTAATCAGATTGTTTAAAACCACCAGTGTACACATCTGTCCTACGATGGCACTATTCATTTCATGCTTTTCCACATTCTGCTTTTCCCCTCTGAGTCTGTGAACAAACAGTGGGATTCATTTAGTATGCATTAGATAAATGTAGTCTCTTATTTCCGAAGCCTGGTGTTGATAGGGGACTGTTGTGTTTTTAATAATAACAGTCTGGAGCTCAATTTGTGAGTTAAACTTTAAAGGGCAAAATTCAGAAGTTTTCAAGCGATGGTGAAAAGTGCAATATTGAATATGCATGTGATTCTTTCTAGAAGATTCTATGCTGTTTTATGTGAAACAAATGAGGAACTCCCTATATAAAGCCCCTTTCCTTTAGTCAGTTTGCAGATGCAAGCACCGCTATCAGCACACATTTACAGGTTTTATAAAATGAAAATATTTTCATATGAAAAAGTCTGTGAATACTATTTATATTTTATTGTTTTCATCTTGCCAAATAAAACTCCTTTAACATGCTCCTTATGTCTGTCTGTCTTTGTACAATAACTTTCAAACGGAAGCCGAAAGATGCCAAATAATAAGTGGATTGGATTTGTTGAGAGCAATCAAGGCAGTTATGCTAAAAATGAGAATGGATCACGTTTCGTGTAATTGGCATTCTGAGTTCGATTGGACCGCTGGGCAGTCAGTTGAAAAAAAACAGGACAACTGGCAACTGTTGAGCCTAGTTGCCAAAGATCACTTTTCAAAGAAGCATTTGTATTCCGCAAAATCAGTTCTTTATGCCATCAAGTCAACGTTTCCATGAATTGTTAAATAGTTTTCTGATGAAAACGATGGCTTTCTTTATTTACAAAAAGGTTGAGTAGCTGATAAATACATACGGGAGTCTGGAGGCTTTGGTGGAGAATATATATGTATATTTCTAGTTAAGGTCCAGCTTTAAAAGTTGCGTCTGCAACTTCAAAGAGCAGACTTTTTGCGCATGCTCGGAACACACAGCATCCCGGAAAAACGAGAAGCAGAGGTTTTGTCCAGAGCAGAGGGGAAAGTTAGATCTTTTTTTTAGCTCCTTGGGTAGAACATGGCATATTTGGAGGTCCGGAAGCCCAGCAGGTCCCTCATTTCATTGCGAAACTTTGAGAGGTCTTGGCGCAAGTCGTTGAGGTTCTCCACCGTGGCCTGGTCCGTGCTCTGCATCTTCTGCCGCGTGGAGGTCAAGTAGCGGTGAACCAGGCAACACATGATCTTTTGATAGTTCTCATCATGCTTCTGCTTCAGGTTCTTCCACTCCTGGATGGAAAAGACAACGGAGGCATTCATAACAAAGATATTGCAGAAAGCACAAATGGACCAAATTGTTCCAGGCGATAAAAAAGCCGACAAGACAAAATAAAACAAAGATGCTTTGGCAGCCGTCTTCTGCAAGTTTGGGTTCTGAATTTCTGAGCAGTATGAAACTCTTTTTCTTACCCTGAGGCTATTCTGTCGCTTCACTTTGCCCTTTGAGGTGTGAGAACAGATCCACTTGCTCATGCTGGTCACCAGGTAGCAGACAGTCTTCGGGGAGGGGAGGATGTTGAATGGCGGAGGCATGGTGCACTTGTCATCAAAGTAGCTGAGCCACAGTTTGGCCCGAGCGAACTTCCACTCCTTGTCCTCGTGATTCTACAGAAGGCCCAAAAACCCAACAAGGACTTTGAGAATACAGAAATGTCAAACTATTCGTTCAAACACTGTTCTTCATTTAGAGAGGAATCTAGAGAATGTAAACTAAGCAATTTTTTGTGGAAATCCTTGAGGGCAGAAATTGTTCTGGACGATGATTTTTTACTTGATCATAACCAGCTGTTCAAAGGAGAAAGAAGATTTAGAGCAGCGTCACGTTTCCGGAGCAAAAACGAAACATCTGTGCAACAATTTCAGAGTGATTCAGAGAAAAACCTCATCTTAACAGTAAATGTAAACAGTTGCTATTTTGGGTCCCGAGTGGAACTGAAATCACCCCCGACAGCACCGAGGAAGCAGAAGCAGGTGACACTTACAGCGATTTGTCTGAAGCTTTTATGGAGCATGGCCACCAGCAGCTTGGTCAGCACGATCACCACCACGATGTTGTAGGTGCCGATGATCATGGCGCCCACAAAAGAGCGCAGCTCCTCCGTGTAGCTGATGCGGGTGACGAAGAGAGCAACGTGCGCCAGCGAGAAGATGTACCAGAACAGGGCGTAGCAGGTCCCCATGAACCTGTGACACACAGGGAGCTGTTAGACGTCCACGGGCATTTAGGAAGCATTTCTACAAACTTGTTTTTGTCGCGGGATGAAATGACAGACGGAGGTTGGCTCGTACGTGTGGAACGCATCGTTGCTCTGCCGCTGGCAGAATATGCCCTCGCAGTCCTTTGGTGGATTCTTGTCCGGGTCCTGCTGGTCCTTTCCGTAAAGCTGGGTGAGTCCAATGGTGAAGGAGAACAACACCAACAGGAAGAGGCCCAAAAACTTCCCAAACTCTTGCAGCATCTGACCCATGGAGATCTGAGAATACATGAATATATGTGTCTTGTTAATCCTGTGCCGCTTCATCCGCTGTAGACCAGAAGACATAATAAGCTTTTTTTTCTACCAGCAATCACCTTTGGTGTCCGAGTTATGTGCTCTGGAGGGATGATGTTAATTTGGTTTTTGTTGTTATGCTTATCAAGTAGCTTCTGAGTATTTGCACACTTAAGAAATAATTAAAAAAAACAATTTAAAGCTTAAAAAAGAAAACTTGACCACCTCAAGCTTCTCGTCCGACCCTCTTTCATGCAGAGACCCCGTGAGGAGGTGGAAGGAGCAACATATTCTGGCAGCTGTGGTGCCCTCACCCTACGTGAGGTACGAAATAAAAACATGGGAGATGCCAAAAAGAGGACTCAAAGAAACCATTGGACCATTGGAAACAACCTATTTAAAGGCTTGAGAGGCTCATCTGTTTACTCGGACCTACTGATGCTCAAACAAGGACATTGCGTACTCGTCCTTGCAGCACAGGGATGGCCACTCTCCCTGCGCCTCAAGTGTTTGCACTGAAACCCAGGCCGCTTGTCTGAGGAGAAGGGCTCGTCTCTTTGGCCGATTAGTTCTCTGGTCATATCTAAATTCCGCCGGGGAATTCCTGTGCCACTTTGTACTCAGTTGAGGGTGTTCCCTGCTTGCCGAGCCCAACAGGCAGCCAGTAATTTCCTACCTTAGCATACAGTCAGTACAGTACAGTACAGTTTTCATATTGAAAATTGTGCACTTTGCATTTTAATACAGCAAGAAATGATGATGACATTTTACAATTAAAAAAAACGTTTGACCAAAGATCTTAGTTTCATAACTCTCTAAACATTTTTCCTGTATGTTTTAACATTTTCCAGCCGTGAGTCTCTTTGAGTCGTATGTTACGCTCCTCACAGTGTGAACATACAACCATAAATAATTATGTATTATGCAACTGGGGGCAAACCGGTGTGTCTTTTCTCCCAAACACATTCCTACCTGTCTCCTGGCTTCGCCTGTATCAGTTATGGGAGATTAACACTGTCGCTGAAGTCAAGTCTGGGCCATGAGTGAGCTCATTGTAAGCACACTGTTGATAGTAGATGATAAAAAAAACCCCCGCTTTCAGTCACTCTTTCCAACCTCAGTAGGGGGCACTGCCCGGCAGAAATATGAGCTGGCCTCCTCGGGAAGGACGTAGTCATGCATTACTGCAACCCACAAAGCACCGCATGGCCGTCTGTGTGCGCTTGTGCGTGAGTAGGAGCTGGTCTGACTGCAAATAATTGCACGCTCACGCAACACATGAGCGTAGAAAATGCGTGGGCGGCACGTGTGCATTAGCGGGGAGGTGTGTCTGCAGCCACATCCACTGTGTTTCCAAAGCTGATGGTTTTTTTCCATCCTGCCAAAGCCAGACGGTGATGTCACAGAGCGAGTGGGAGGGCGGAGAGGGTTTGGAAGGGAGTAGAGGGAGGGAGGCAGGAAGATGGAGGAGATTGTAGTGGAAAAGTGCAAATAAACAATCCACAGGGCACCCGGTAGTTTTGTAAGTCAGGCCCAAAACAGCACTTGACATAATGACAGGAAGTAATCCATGCAAATAAACTGAAATCACTGAATACCTGAGAACTACTTTGTGTTATAAAGCCTCAAACAGATGAATGTTGGCTGGTTTTATTATCTTTCTGCCAGCCGGATACAAGATACACAAACTCATGATGGGATAAAAACACCTTTGGCACTGATGGATTTTTGCTTGTCCAGAAAGGTAAGAAATATGCCACTGAAACAGTGAGGCTTTGGTGCACACATTCATGTGATTGTAATCTAGCGGTTTGTTGTTGAAAATGTCAATCCACAGTGTTATCAGGCTGATTCATTTTTCAAATTGAACCCACTTGAAAAAAATAATTTTCTGAGCCTTATAATAAATAAGTAAGTAATGACTGTATTTTTCCCTTTAATTACTATTGAGATAAAGTAGGAGTTAGATATTGCATCAGACTTCACTGTGTGTATCAGATTGGGATCTTGTGCAGACTGAAGGCGCCCTTCTTCACGTCGATGATAGAAACGACGACAGCAGGACGGCGATGCATATGGCAGCCGAAGCTGCAAAGCTGGATGATGAGTGTGATGTGTGTGCTCATGAGCACATTATCACTGCACACATCCGTCTACCGCCCCAGTTCCCAGCGCGTACACTTTATGCTTATGATGATGGTCCCAACACTGCCGAGCACGGCTGGTGTGATGTTTAGTCGTGTGGGTTTGTCCTTGAGTGTTCGCACTTCGCCGGGAGAGGAAGGGAGTGGGTGGTGCATGTGTGTGAGTGGTGGGGTCAGAGACAACGACAGAAAAGGGAAGCAGCGTTATATAATCTGTCCCGAGTTCATTTCGGCCATTTTGTTCACACCCAAGAGGCTGTTTTCAAAGTACTGGCTGGAGAAACGACCTTAAACCATGCAAAATATTATGGATTACTAGCGTCAGCACTGCTTTCCTACCTGCAGCGGCCCCAGTATGGAGCTGGTGGTGTACATGAAGAAGAGTCGCAGGTAACTCAGCACGTTGGCGAAGGCAAACAGGCCCTCGGCCACCAAGATGGGGTGGAAGGCGTCCCAGTTCTTCCTCTCCGTTTCCTCCACGTTCTTGAACTGAAGCACAAGCAGGCACATTTACAGCAATGACAATGTGGAAATAACCCTTTAACATCAATTTCTGTTTTTGTACAGATGAAAACATGAAATATGTTCGATTCGCGTCTTAGTTGATGAGCTTTAGGCCTCACTCCGTTTCCAGTGTTTATATGCGCAGTTATCCATCCTCTAATGTGTGTGAGTACCTTGCTGTGAGCTACTATCTTGAGGGCAAAGGTGGCCAGGTAAAGGGAATTCATGACGAAGCTCAGCTGGTTCCTCGACTCATCCAGAAAGTCCTCCAGCCCCTGGTACCACAGGCGCTTCACATCCGACCACACCATCC